TTTGGTTCATATATATATACAAATAATTTTTTAATTATATTATTAAGCAGAGCGGGGATGGGGGCGGGGGCGGGGTGTGTATTAACATTCCTACGCTCACCCCCGCCCCCAATTTTATCAATCGAAAAAAACCCGAACCCGAACCCGATAAACACGAGTTTTCTCTATTCAAATCGGAGCAGGTTCAGGCGGGTTCCCACGGGACGAGTTAGATTGCTATGAATAATTGAGGCTTTCCATAATTTGGTACACTACCGGCTAGGTTCTATTGGCCTTTTACTTTCTACTTAAAACAAGTAGGAGTAGGATTAGGGATGACAAATATACCCGTACCCGCGGGTAATACTCGAACCCGTCCCGACTTTGACGGGGAATACCCGGTTTGACCGGGTACGGGTAAAACCCGATATATTAAATCGGGTACGGGTACGGGTACGGGTATGTACTTACCCGTCCCGTACCCGTACCCGTACTCGTCCCCGTTTCCATTTGTAATTTAATACTCACTTTTAATTTAATTATATTAAAAAAAAATTAATATTTTTTATGTGTGATTATTTATTATAATATGAGATAGAAAAATAACTTAATTATAATTATAATATAATAAAAAAAATAATTTAAAAATATTATTTTTTTTACAAAAAATAAAAAATAAAAAAATTGACGGGTACGGGTACGGGTATACTCGATACCCGACGGGGACGGGGATGGGAATGAAAACCACATACCCGGCAGGTACGGGGACGGGGACGGGGATGGATTTGACTCGCGAGGACGGGGACGGGTATCATAAAACCCGTACCCGCCCCGCCCCGTTGCCATCCCTAAATAGGATCAAACAAATTTTCAAGTTGGAGAATTTCTATCAAAATTTTAACGACACACATAATTCACCTGTGCTTTGACCGGAAGTAGAGAGAAAATGAAAGAAAAATAAAAATAAAATGGAGAGAATAAAAAATAGAGAAAATTTAATTATCTTTTCTATTGGTTTATAAAGAAATATTTTTTATTGTTTGGAAGAAGAAAAGAGGAACGGGAAACTCTATATTTTATTTTATCTCGTTTGATTGATAAGAAAAAGAAAAAAAGAAAAAAACCTATAACTGAATAACATTTTTACCCTTATATCAAATATTTAATGATTTTCTTCTGCTATAATATCTCGTGATGAGTGGTTTATTAGAAATCTACAAAACCTACGTCGTAATCTACCTTTTTCTTTACATATGTGAAGAGAAAGTGTGAAATTCAAGGGCGTTTTTTCATTAATACACTGGTCTAAACGAGAGAAAAATCACTTTGTTTTATTTTTATTTTTCCCCATACTTTATTCCAAAGAAAGATAGATGGATATAGAAGTTATTTGACATAATGAGCACTAATAAATATGACTATATTTTACTTTTAATGTAGCATTTAGTTTTTTTCCCCTTTTTATACTTGTCCAACAAAAAAAAAAGTCACGCCAATTTTGTTTAGAGAAGCTTTGAATAATAAGATAAATAATATAAAAATATGAGTTTTAAAAGAAGATAATCGGAAGGGCTTCTATTTTTTTTAAAATATTATTTTGAAATATATTGGCCTTTTCTTTTCTCCTTCTTTCGTTAAACATGTAACTTCCAAATCAAAACAGGCTTATAACACGCAACAACATTTGTAGGTCATGGCAGTGCTACTGCTAGCCTAGTTTTGTGTTTCTACGTGAAGCAGCTATAGACTCAATTTAATCGATAAATAACAATGTAAAATAAATAAATTAGTTTTGATATAAATATTTTGTTTATGTTTTAAATATTTATATTTAATTTGTTTCTTTTTTATTATTTTATAATTTATTTCTTTATTTTTATAATAGAAAAATATAATATTTAATTATTGTATAACAATTTTTCAATACCTCGTAAAAACAAATAAAATTATACTCATCTAATAAAAATATATCTTTATAAAATAACTCATCATTGATATTTAACGCTAAGATTTCAATTATTTGTGGAGATGGAAGACAAAACAAACTTTTCATAAATTTCTCTATTGTCTTTAATGGAGAAAACTATAATCTTTAGAAGGTGAAAATGAAGACATACATGGAGGTTTTAGATCTCCAGGAAGCCATCAAAGAAAATTATAATGTTTCAGCACTGTTAGACGATTCCATTGTAACTTAAATGAAAATTCACAAAGAAAAAAAAATAATAAGACAAATGATCATGACCCTCAAATCGTCAAAAACAAATTGGGATTACCTAAAGGAAGAATATGCTGAAGATGAAAGGATCTGAAACATGCAAGTGTTTAATTTAATGAGAAAAATTGAGTTACAAAAAATGAAGGAGTCTGAGACAACCAAACAATATTCAGACAAATTGTTTGGCTTTGCTAGCTCATAAGACAGGGTACTAGAAACACAATTCCTTGATTTTAGAATTGTTGAAAAAAATTGAGTAATTATATTCAAAAGATGTGAAGCTTCGATAGCAATCTCAGAGAACATAAAAGATATGAGTAAGATTACTTTGACAGATGTGTTACGTGCATTATAAACATTAGAACAAAGGAAATTTATGAGATAAGAAGGAAGAAGAAAAAGAAGAAGAATTACTCTTAATGTTATGTTTTATGACAAAAAAACCTTCAATGACTTTTATTATTGATAGTAGTTATATAAATTATATGACTTATGATTAAGAACTCAACAAAATTACTAATCTAAAATCTAAAGGGGCGTTGAAGAACACTCTGTAGTAAAAGGCAAAGTAACAATTGCTATTAAAAGTCATTTAGGTTTGATATTGATATTTGATATCTTATGCATTTCTGATATTAATAAAAATTAATTGAGTGTTGCTTTATTATTGGAAAAAAGGTTATAAATAACAAAGAATTACTCAATATTCATATGAAAGACAAATTTTTTTTTTTAGATTTGGTGAAGGAGGAGCCAATTATAAATGAAGATCTAAGAGACACACTTCAAAGATACATGTCTTGAGAAGAAGTTTGATGATCAAGAACATAATGAATATGATGAAAAATCTCAAAAAGAAAATTTGAGTCAAGGTAATCTCACTCAAAAAAGAATTACAATAAAAATCACAAGAAAAATAAAAAGAAGTAAACGGTCAAAAAGAAAATAGACAAATTTTAAAATTCAAATTAAATGATAAAGATACTCAATCAATCAAAAATTTTGAAAAATTAATTTTGATAAAAAAATCTTTTATTTATGCTTCAAATATGTAAATTTAATTTATTTTTGAGTATTTTAAGATTTATTTCCTTATTTTTAGAATATAATAATATTAATATTTCATCCTTGTTTATAAAATAACCCAAGGGTTATTCCGTCTGATTTTGTGTTTGTACATGAAGCAGCTAAACTCAATTTTATCAAGAAATAATGATGTAAACCAAATAAAGTGGGGTTAGACAAAACGGTTGTGTCAATTGTAGTGGTTAGGGACAATTTTGTGATAAAAGGGTTGGTGTCATTTGTTGTTTTCATATATGGTTTTTGTTGGGAAATAACAAAACAAATTCCCCTTTCTGTGTGAACAAAACGAGTAATAAAGAGTAAATAAAGAAAAACGACATCATAATTATTATTATTATTTTTTTGTGAAAGAATCTCTTCACATAAAAAGGAAAAAAAAATCTCTTGATATAGAGTCCAAATTAAAGAGCAGTAAATGTGCAAAAGATAATCATATTCATGAATACACTACTTATTATAAGCATCTATGTCATAATTTATATTTTTGTACACAATTTGTCGACATATATATTACTATTACATGCATTTAAATTAGTAACAACCAATATGAGGTTCGAAAACTTTTGCAAATTTTAAAAATTAAAGTTTCAATAATATATACTAGGAGCATAATTAGTATGCTAGAAAGAAAAAAAATAGTAGCAGTCATGGGAATTGGACTTCCAGACTGGCATATCAAAATTTGGTAAAAGTATAAAGTATGCATACTTTAAGGTTTAGAATAAAGAGATTAATATATGAATTGATTAAACATTTTGTAAACTAATAAAACACTCACTTCATGTTTTGGGGTGAGTTGTGGAGCACCTTAGAAATTGTCTGATCCACTCAGCTGCTACGTATTCCAATTGAAGCACGCAACAGTACTATGGTTCATGACTTGACTTATTGTCCAAACATTAATTTCCACGACCGCACCCTCGTGGCTTCAACAAAACCACGTTATCCAACACGCAACGTAATCACACTCTTTTCATTCTTGAACTCTCCAAATTCCTCTCTCTCTCTCTCTCTCTCTTTCCATGGCATCTGTGACGCGTGTGGCGCGCTGCGAGCTGCGGCCGGGGAGAGCGGCGGTTCGGCCGAGGGAACCGGGCGGTCCGGTTCCGGTCTCGATCCCCAAACCGAAAGCGGCGGAGGCGGAAGGAACGAACGCGAACATCGTTCTGCAGCCGCGGTTGTGTACTCTGAGATCGTACGGTTCGGATCGCGGGGGAGTCATCAAGAGTCGCGATGACGTGTCACCGTTCTTCGCCACGCTTTCTGAGTACATCGAAAGCTCTAAGAAAAGTCACGATTTTGAGATCATCTCTGGTCGTCTAGCTATGGTATGCTAACTAATAACTGTTCATCAAACCTAAATTACAAAATCCATAATTTTAATCCCATCATCAAATTTATAATAATCTTTAGAGTAATAATTGTTATGCAACATGACATGCATGCATGTAAACTGTGATATCTATATTAACAAAGCTAGTGGTAATGTCTCTAGATAAAATCTTCTCTCCGAGGAATATCAATCTATTTCAATGTGTTGATGTGTTTGATCCTTGTGAAACACCGAGTTAGAGGTGATATGTACTGCAACTTGAATTACACTAATTCGAGGCAAAAAGAATCGGCAAGTTAGAACTGATTTTGAGATCTTCTCCATATGTAGAAAAACTCTCAAAACTCTTATAAATATATATCCAAACATGTTCAAACTCACTTTCTTTATCTAAGTGATAAAGAAAATAAGTTATACACTTCCAGTGTGTAAAATAGTGTGGTCTAGTTACAATTAATTATGACAATTATGTACGGTGACTTTTGTTAACTTTTATAATAATTTGAAATAAAAAAAGTCATTAAAAAAAGCGTATCTATTAAAAATCTCTTAGAATTCTCTTACAGATTGAATGCTATGTAGTGCACCCTTGCTGTTTGCTTCTTGCCATAACTTGTGTCAATGTCCCTTTTAAATTAATACTGGTTTCGAGCCTTGGGAATTTGTGTTTCTCCGGTGTGTACCACATACAATAATGATAAGAGTAAAAAAAATAGTAGATCACTGGATGATATATGATTAAAATGATGTTAATCATGTTTGGTGCAGATGGTGTTTGCAGCAACGGTGACAATGGAAATGGTGACAGGAAACTCTGTGTTCAGAAAGATGGATATTGAAGGAATCACAGAGGCCGGTGGGGTGTGTTTGGGTGCTGTAACTTGTGCAGCACTCTTTGCATGGTTCTCCAGTGCCCGAAACAGAGTTGGTCGAATCTTCACCGTCAGCTGCAATGCATTCATCGACTCAGTAATTGACCAAATCGTCGATGGTTTGTTCTATGAAGGCGATCCTACTCATTGGTCTGATGAACCCTGATCAAATATAATACTATAATTCTTACCATTTTACACACATTTAATGTGTCTAAAATTCATAGTCACACTAAGAGAAACATGTAAGGTAATGTAATAATAATATTTATAAATATATAGGTATACGTAGAAAAGCAAAAGTGATGCCATTGCGAGTCCAAAATAGGTAGTAAAAATAAATGATGCGCATCATAGATTGCTTCAGAATTAGACGTTGAAACTAAATGAATGTATCCCTTTCTTAAGCATTCATGGATGATGAGATATGTTTTATTAACTTGGGGTATGTCATGCAAAATCTCAAAACAATAATTACGTGAGCTACATTTTCAATTCTATGTTGATATCTCATTCCTTGCAAATACTAACTTGTATCAAATACCAAAACCTCTCTAATTACAAATGTGTTGGCATGTATGGTGGGGGAATGCCAAGAGGATTTGTGTAGAACAGATTATGTCAAACAATAATGGAAAGTTGAATGCTCATCAAAAACTTGAATGTTTATGAACAAGAAACAGCTTAAAAATTGTAATTTGTATAATCGTTTGTTTATACTATAGTTTGATGTCTCGGCTTAAAACAATGAAGTGTGGAACTATGCTGCATTTTCGATTGCCTGAATGCACTCCAATACGCTTGCCTTCTTTGCCATTGCTGCCATTAAGGCTTCATGAATCACCGTGTTATTTTTCAAGAGAGAAGCGGCAAACAGAACCTGCAAACATGAGCTTTTCAGCACAAAAATGCATAAATTCGGGGATACATTCCTGATAGTGACCAAGATTTTAATATATATAGTATTAGAAAACATACGGCCCATCTTGTGAGATTTTGTTGCTGGTCTTTGCTGAGTTGTGGCTTGGTTCTGTTAATGAATCTCTGTAGGAAAAGATAATTTTGAGTATTATTATTTGAGATAATAGCCAGAAGTGTTATATCCACATTTTAAAAAGAAATAAAATATCTAACCTGGAGAGTGAAAAGATCAGCAGATTGACCAACTACCTTGTCATATGTTAAACCTTCTGCTGCCAGTCCAGCCATTGACACAACAGCCAATCTGATATGCAAAAAGGGCAATTACAACTCAGCCTATTCTTCAAGGCAAATCATCTGATTACACAGACTTTTTTTTTTTTTTTTTAAAAAAAATCATAGACATATTGGTACTTGGTTCTTAAAATCTTACAACTTGGCATGGCTTTTTTCTTTAACATTAAGAGCAATTAAGAGGTGTACACCAAAAAAAAAAAAGCAACTAAAGGTGCTTACTTATCTAGCTCTTTGGCATCAATCTGACCGCTATAGAGAAGCTTTTCAAGCCTCTCATCAATGAGATTGACATGTTCTTTTCCAATATCCAGTGAATAGCCCAAAATGGGTAAGCCAAGCAGATAAGCAACTAAAATGAAACAGAATAACCAAACAGAAACTATGAGTTAGAGCAAAGTCACATATCTGATGCTTTGTGCATGTAAATCAGCCAAGCAAGAAAAAAGGTAGTACCCAAAAAGTGAGCTGCTTCATGTCTTGCAATCCTCTCTTGATAATCAGGGAAAAATGATGAAAAGCTGCCAATAGCTGCTTGGAGAAGCCTACACTAGCAACTCAGAGCAATGTAAAGCAAATTAACACTGAAAAGGAGTATCCATTGCTACTTGAATATGATAAACCCAATTCTTACCCTGGGGATATGCTACCCACAGCCAGAACCACTAAAGAAATACTCCCAATCAAGTATGGTACAAAGAAGCCCCAATCCTACACGTGTCAGCACATTAATCAGAAATGGAACCACAAGTCACAATTCTTTTAAGGTATGTTTGGTTGAGTGGATGGGAAGTAGTAACGTGAAAAACAAAAGAAAAAGTCCTTTGAACCAATTTTTTCCCACTTTCTATATGTTTTTAAGCTACACCAATTAAGTGTAGAAGGATTTTCCAAAGTTTTACCTTACCACTACCCAACCAAGCACAACCTTAAGCTTTTGTTTGATACATAAAGTCATAAACTAAATGCATGGATATGGCAACTTAGAAGAGGAGACAATTCTAATTCGTAAACCACCAAAAGCATAAGTACAGTCTTGAAGTATCACTATCACCAACGTTTGCAAATTTTCCAAATGAAAGTAGAATATAATATGTAAAGTGAGACCGTGATGCATGTTGGAAGGAAAAAGTTACTAAATCTTCCACTTTGGTAGCTCTTAAATCAGCTGGTTGCCAAGACAGCATTCAAAATCCATAAAATATTTTCTATTAGAAGCTCCATCCATATACTACTTCCTCAATAATTCAGATTATTTTTGCAACCAAAAATGGCCGGCCATATCCGCATTTACAAAAGCGTGCTTCAACACTATAGAACCTCATCATACCAAGATAGTCTATATCATTAAACAGACATACAGAGCAAAACACAAGTGTGCTAATGATACCCCTGGAAGCTGCCCAGCCAGAACACCCAAAAATCCTGTTGTTCCAACCACAGTGAAAAGAAAAGCTGCCTGCATCATCAAAGATTTTTGTTACTTGTTGGTTAAGAATGCTTAAACATGATATCTTTTCAAGATTGAAGAAAGTCTCACTCAGACGTTACTGGTTGCCACATGGACAATTATGAGATATTCACATAAAGCATATTAAAAAAGCACTGCTCATTCCCTTGATACCAAAACTAAAAATATTTCTGAAACTCACATCATTTCTGACACTAGGAATTGCAAGGTTCTCTGCGTTTTTGATTCCTAGACTTGTGAGCTCTCGGAGTGATGTCTGGTACACAAATTTTGAATGGTCAAAACTTGTATGAGTGATGGAATTAGCTTACATGTGAATAAGTAGTGGAAGCATTGGACAGGTATACATGATGGATGCTATGTCCAAGAATGGTTGATGAGAGCTTAATGTTTAGGTGTCACTTTGCCACATTTGTAATTGGAGACTGACCGTACGACGTGAAACATATGGCTGAGAACTCCATTTCTTGGCCCAACCAACTTCACTAAGCTCATTAAGTGCCTCTTTAACAGCATCACTGTCCTTCTGCACAAACAAGCCTCTCTATGATTACCCTCACTAGTAACTACCTTAATACTGAAACATGAATAATATTTTCATGGGGGCATAGATGTGAAGGCAAAGAATATAATTTTAACTCAATTGTTACTAACTTGAGCACATTGTACTGCTCAATCACAATGTTTAGCTCTAATAATTAACTAAGAAAGCAACTTTGTTACCCCTTTGTGTGAAAATCATAATAGACATTTGGTGCAAAACTAAAACACCTTAGAAATGGCTGATTCGAGTGTCTTGAGGTCGACCCCAGGGGCAGCAGAGGAAGCTCTGGTTGTGAATTTTGGGAGGTTGATCTTGAAGCATGTTTGGTGTTGATAATGGAAATTATGGTAATAATAGGGTTTGGGAAGAGATGAGTAAGCCATGTTTGTTGTTACCCACATTATCTCTTTGCTATGTATTCTGTTAGATTATTGGAGGGTGGAGCTTGGTGCAGATAAGGACTTGAAACTTGGTAGTTGGAACGACCAATTAAAAAGAAATACTGAAAAAGTTAAAGATAATGTTGAGAGTGGGATTTGAACCCACGCCCTTTCGGACCAGAACCTTAATCTGGCGCCTTAGACCAACTCGGCCATCTCAACATTTATTAAGAATGTCTGAAAAATTGTAATTGATACAATTAAATAAAAGAAATATAGAAAAAATTAAAGACAGTGTTGAGAGTGGGATTTGAACCCACGCCCTTTCGGACCAGAACCTTAATCTGGCGCCTTAGACCCACTCGGCCATCTCAACCTTAACGACAAGGGTGACAAAAAATACCATTGAAATATTAATGAGAGTTATTCAAATGTTACCCATACAAAGGTGTGAATTTCCAGAATTATATCAAATTTAAAATAAATTATTCTCTATATAATTGTGTATATATATATATATATTCACATCTTATTTTTTATATTTTTATTTTTATCTCTTTTTCCTTCAATAAGATAATTGTAATGTTATTGTATTTCAATTTTTATATTTATTTAACAATTTTGAAATAAAAGAAAAGGACTCTTCCTTGTGATTTAGACATAAAAAAATATATAATTTTTATATTAAGTTTATATGATTGTTTTATCTTTTAAAATGATAAAAAAAATATTAAATTTATTTTACTAAGTAAAATTTGAAAAAAAATAACTATATTTTAACACATATTGCACTACTAGTTAGTATGTGTTTGGAATCGTCAACTTGAATTTACGTTTGAGAATTTTTTTTTTAAAACTTTCGCATCTATTATCAATTCTAACACAATTTTCAAGTCTATCATAATTAAATAACGCCATTTCAAAAACGCACTTAATTTTACATCTTCCTTCTTTCCAATCGCACACCGTTGCAACATTCATCACATTAATTTTTACATTTTACATCTTTCCACTCATACACCTATAAAAAAAAAGGATATTCTTTTATAATAACTTTAAAACGTACCCAAATGACCCAAGTCAAACTACATAGCAGAGTCTGTTAAACCTTACGCTAGGTTCGGACTTGTAAAAAATAGGTAATTAATAAGCGTGTTTTATTAAAAACCCACAAAATCACGGTTCACTAAGAAAAATAAAAGTTATTCTTGATTTATTGTTTTAGAATATTTATTTTTTCCATTCAACAAAATTCAATGACAAAACAAGCATATAGAACATGAAAAAGACAGAATATAATATAGAATACAATATAGGTGTCACTTTTACAACATACCTCTTTAAAAGAAGCAATACATACATAAATTAATGACAACCGAACTAGGATTACAACGCACACCTCGTTTACCAGTATATATACACATCAACAATAAACAAAAATTAAAAATGGTTGCTATTGGCTTTCAGATTATGCTAAATTGCCAACACAAATTATGCATAAACAAGTGCCCATGTTGTATTACTTAACCTTTTCTTTTTTACCAGAGACACTGCACAACAGGTCAACAACATGACCTTAATTGCAATAGAAAAAGAAAATGAACAAACAAAACAAGCTTGTGACCAAAGTTTCTATTAGCACTCTGCATAAAAGCCACCTTCACCTTTCAAAAAGTAGTCAATTTGTTCTAACGCCTGCAAGATACAAAGGGACACCATTAGATAAGCATCACTGATACAAAAAATTAGATTCATCTTTGGCTATAGGAATTTTTCAGTTTGCCTAGAGCCAAAGAAATGAAGTTAAGGGCACGAGGGAGAAATTTCTCTATACCTCAATTGCAATATCAGTTGGAGACAATTCGGAAACATCTCTTTTGCCCAGTTTCATTGCTATATCTGGCAAAAACAAAACAGCATCAAATATTGCGTTTTAATGTTATCAAATAGGAAGCATACAACAATGAACACAAAGCATGTTTGTTCTTTTCCCAGATATTCTGGACAATTCCACACTTCTTATTTCAAAACATTAAAGAAAGACTAATGGACATACTTTTTAATGAGACCCTGGCATTGGCGTTGGCGTATGCGTCACCTCTCTCTTCAAAAATTGCAGACAAACGCATAAAAGCCTATATGTGAAGTCCAAATGGTAAAATTATTTAGGGAAAAAATAATTTTGATGCAAACTCCAACAATGATAAGTTGATCCAACATGGTAGCTTAAATTCTTAAATTAATACATTGTGTTTAGATAAGAAAAACACTCTTACTATGGAACATAAAAAATTACCCGTTTGTAAGGATCCCCTGCTTCATAGTGTAGAAGCGGGCGGGAATTAGTTCCTACAGCTGCAATTCTCTGTGCCAAGGCTTCCACTGGTACATCCAGCCAAACACTAACTCCCTTGTGCATATATTTCCTGGAAATCCATTCACATGCAACTCCATTAAATAGATGAGAAAAAGATTCAACAGAAAACAAAGTTAGAACTTTTCACAGTAGTGAGTTAATTCTTATACCAGTTGATGGGCCTCGTAACAGCACCTCCACCGGTAGAAATAACAAGTCGATGCATCTGGGATAGCTTACACAACACCTCAGTCTGAAATTGTAAAACAAGGAAACAGAATGGTTAATAGAATAACCGAACCAAAAAATAATTCAGAACAATGATACCAAAGTGTCTGTTGATTGTTGAATTTAGAGCGGGGAAAGAGAGAAATAGAGATAAGTTATTCTAGAGAGTAAGATCTGAACAAAAAGCTTTCTTATTCAGCATTTCCATTATGCAAAGTCAGAACATCAATATATAGTCACTCTATAGACTTGGTGTGTAAAGTTTCCAAGACTTAGTAAATGAGTGAAAATGAGTGAAATTTCCTAATAGCTAATTCCTATTTATACTAAATGCATTTTAACATGTAATACATGAACTCATTTATCATATGGTACATGAACTCATTTAACATGTGGTACATGAACTGCACATAATTCAAGCACTCCCTCAAGCTAAAGCTTGCTAGGGTTAACGTTGTTACAAATAAACTTTTTTTTTTCTTAAATGAAAGAGAAATATAATTTGTATTCCGATAAACATAGTTGAAAAGGAAATATTAGGCTGCTAGAGACAGTGAAATGCGAACTGCTGGAAACACAATGCAACAAGGACTAAGAAGTGGGAACTACTCCAAATTCACGAAGAACTGAAAACATATCCAATCAAGGGAAGAGTGGGATGAATAGCGTGTTTGTATCAGCTGTTAAAACGTGATTTTTCACGTTTAGGCTGAAGTAGAAAATAGTCACTTCTCCGTAAATTTAGAATCGGACGTGGAAAGAGAAGGTAAACTTGAATTTAATAATCAAAACCAAACACGCACGAAATAGACCAAACAAAAGTCCAAACTCGAAGCTGGAGGAGGGTGGCGAAGTTGAGTTTGAGGTGGCAGTGACATGTGTAGATTTACGGTTTACACAGCTGGAAGATTGATGCAACTGGAGATGGACACAGCTAGTAATAGAGACGGCTAGAAATTTTCTAGAAGGTTGGCAGAAAATTCGCCAAAACTTTGCCGGAAAAGGCACCATAATGTCACTGGAGAAGTAACCAGCTGCTGCAAATGGCTGGACAATATTGCCAGAATGAATTAACAGCAGAGGAAAGACTAGTGAGAAGGGGGAAATAAAGAATAAAGCAACTGAAACAGAAGATAGCTACAAAAAATCAGAACAGTTCATATTTTAGGATTGTGGCAGCAGAATTGTGCCAGGACAGGTTAAAGTAGAATAGGGTATAGCTCAATGAACATGTGGTAGCTCATGGCATACACAGTTGCCCAAGGAAGTGCCACGCAACAATTACAGAGCTGTCTGGCCGTCAAATACACTGATATAATTACTTGACATATAAAGGCTCTTATGACAATGCCCACTGAACTATGACCATGTTCAAGACATGGAATGACGGTAATACACTGAATGTGGGCACCTCTCCTAGTAAGGATTCGATCCATAATTCACTACTTTGTGAATGGATGACTCGCCGCTTCTACAAAATCTGACACCATTGGTTGAGAAGTATGTGCTTTTAATCTCTAATAAAGGACTGAAAACACATTATGTTTTAGTATTTACTAAATATAAGATTTTTTTTTTAAAAAAAGGGGACTAAAATACATGTCAATTTTCAAGGACTAGAAGACTTGTGTAAGCCTATTTTTTTTCGAATTTGGATCCTCTCATTTCCTTTGATGCCCATTTCTTCTATTTCTTAAACTTTTAGGAAAACAAATAAAATGAAGATGATACACATTTTAAGAAAAACAAGATTTATGCTCTTAAAACTTTAGTAATGGAAGAAATGGAGAGGATTCTTTACTCATTTTTTTTCTATTTGGGCACTCCAATTAAAACAATCCAGCACCACCACTGCTTATAATATAAAGATAATATGAAGATAGATGAAAATGAGGATGCTGGATGTGACTAAAAAATAGGAAAATCTAAGAGTTCAAACAACTAAGAAAACTCTCTGAACACTGAAGAATATGAGAATTGAAAACATAGTGCTTTCAAACTGACCTCCTTATTACGAAAGAAAGGCTCACCATGGCTCTTGAATATATCAGCTACAGAGTTTCCACCAACCTCCTCCTCCACCAATGCATCACTAAAACACCCATAAAAGCCAAAATAGAGAAAATAATCAGCAAGACCTCTAATGTGTAAAAAAATAGTCATTGTATTGTGATAAAACATGTTGACTGTTGTACAAGGATCTGCTGAACAGAAACATTGTACACCAGAGTAGACCATATTCCTCAGCATAACTGAGACCCACCCTGTTTTCATCTATTGAATACAATCACACATATGTTCATCTTTTACAAGGCCTCCGTTCCCTTTAATATCAATCGAATATGAATACAAGTTGAAGCTCATATCAGATATTAAATATAATGAAATAATTGCACAAACAAAAATAATAGAGCTGCTTTACAGGCAAAGATCATTATGTATGTATTCTACTGATCCATTGAGTATTCCAACGACACATGATCTACTTGTTATTAAATGCATTTTCTCCCCCATGAAGAAAAGATGAGCAATTAACATACTAACCTATCACAAAATGAATAACCAAGCACTTGTGACATTATCTTCCCCACAGTTGTCTTCCCAGAGCCCATCATTCCTGCATGTTAAATTTAAAAGCACTTTTAATGCCACAGTAATTTCCAAAGCATTCAATTAAGCACAAGAAGTGATTCAAGAAACTGACCAACAAGATATATACAGCGTCCATTTAAATTTGGCTGGATCTCTTGTGATTTATTCTGCAATTTTACAGATCCAAGTAAGATAATGACATATATACTTCAACAAGAAACAAATTGAGCTAATATCACTTTTTATCTTGATGCTTTGCCTTGCTTTTATAGAAGGATGTAAACAGGCATATAGCATCACCAGACTGAATTTTCTATATTAATTAAAAATTACAAACAGCATCATGGTTTTACCTTTAGAATCAGCTCTTCATCAAGAGGAGTACGGACACTTCCAGATTCCAATGTCGAAGCTACAAACAGTAAGAATAAAGTTAAAAATGAGCAGTATTTATTTTATCCCGTAACAAACTAGATCCAATCCAGCCATATTACACACTTCTCAAACACTGAACTTTTAACTTTTCTTTAAGAGACGCGGTATGTTAATTTTTTCATCTTATCAATAGAAACGAAAATGTGATTCAATCTGCAGATAATAAAAGCTAGCTCAAAACTACATAATGTAATTATTGCTGGATTGAAAAGCAGGACTACAAGCATTATCTTTTCATATTAATCGCATCATGTTTTCAACGTAAATATTACTGGAAAAAACAAAACAAAACTTTAGGAAAATCTATGTTTATATGCATAATTCGGACAGTACAGAAAGGGATTGGACAAAATAACTAGAATTTAATTATAATATACTACCAATGTTGTTTACATTGTCACCAAATCACATATTGTTATATAATTAAAAAATCGTTGAGTTTTATAACAATTAATATTTTAAAAATCATATCAACCACTACCTATAATATTTTGAGAGTATCAAAATTAAACACAAAGGCAGATGTACAATTTTGCACAGAACAAGGACAGATAGTTGTTGTTCCCAATTTCATTGACAATTTACAAGTATGGTTCATTACTTTATTATACCGCATTTAGCAATCCTTCATTATGTTTGAAAATTGAAAAACGGATAGATAACTCAGCTAACATTCCTTTGAGCAAAATTGAATTGAACAAAAAAGGACAAAAATGACCCCCAACAACAATCCAATTCTAAAAAGCTAGAAAAGCAAGAGCACAGTCCAACAACACCAAGGGGGGAAAATTAGAAAAGAAAAATCGGATGGGGTCGTTGGTTTTTATGGCAACCTGGAACGTTGTAGGAACATGAGACCTCCACGGTGGTTGTTCTGCGGCGCATCCTCAAAGACAACTTGGCCGAAACAAAAGGCCGCGACATGCCGAAAGAACAACAACTGGGTCTTCTCCCAATCATATCGGGTCGAACCACCGGTGAAAGGTGTAACCGCTGTGCAGCTTTCACGTCCATTGATGAAACAACGTGATTTCTTCCTCAATCTTAACCAATGGAAGAAGGTGAATTCAGAAGGAATCAGTAGTAAAGGAGAAGTGAGATCAGAGAGAGAATGGAAGCAGAATCTAATTGGAATGGCTACGGATGGTGAGAGCAATCTTAATATTAATAATTTAATACGATGAACAAAAAAAAAATGGTGTCAGAGTTGAAAAAGGTTTTCACATTCTTTTTCTTTCTGCATAAGTGCCTCTGATTCTGTTTCTTACGGTAAAATTCCAAATTTAAAAAATAAAAATAAAAAATAGCTGCACCCTAAATTATTTGGAAAATGATTTTAGATTCCGAAACCCTGTTCCGAATTATTAAAATAATAATTTAAATTATAAAATATTAAATTAAATAATTATTTTACAATAAATTTATTAAAAAATATTAATATTTTAAAGTTTTGAAAGATAATTCGGACAACCGGAAGCTGTAGCATAACTCAAATTATTTATTTTTAATCATGGAGGTATTGACTTTTTAAAGTTTTCATACAACCCAAAATATTTCAATCAACTGTTTGGTAAGAAAAAATAAATAATTAATAGGTTTTACATCTTTTAATTTTATTTTTTTTATTATTAACTTTTTTGCTAGTCTATGTAATTTTTCATAATTAAAAAAAGTTAACTCGGTTAAATAAATTTGTTCTAGTTATATATTTTATTTCTTAAATACATTTTTGGTTCTTAAAAATTTAAGATAAATATGTTTTCAATTTTTTAAATTTAAAATTTATTTTCTTAGTTTATGTAATTTTAAAATAAATTATTTTAATTTTTATACTTAATTTTTTAGGAGTTTGTTAAAGTCAATTTTATCACTTTTAAATATATTATTAGTAATTTAAGTGATTAAAATAAATTTTTTTAAAATTATAAGATTAAAAAAAATAAATTTAACATAAGTTAAAAACATATTTAAAAATATTTTATTTTATCTAAAACTACACTTATACTAATTCTCTTTCTTAATTAATATTTATGTATTTTCTAACATGTTTTATTAATCAGTAATTATCTCTCTTAATTAATGTTTATATTTTATTTAATAAATTAGAATATATAATTTTAAAATATTCTATAATTAGCGTATTTTATTAAATTAAAAATAAAATTTAATTAAAGATATTTTAGTAAAAATAATTAATATACAAAATAATATGAATTGACTTTTATATAAAAAAATTATTTTAAGTTAATTTTTATAAATAAAAATTGAAATATTAATTTTTAATTTTTTTTCTTTTTCTGCCAGTAGTATTTTTTAGCAGTGTGGTTCTTTTAAAAAAAATTATCAATTCCAATAATTTTTTAAAAATAATGAAAATCAAAACACAAATATTTAATTTAAATATATAATATTAAGGTTCAATAAAAGTGTTAATCATAATACCAATATTTTCGCTTACCTCTCCTTATTTCTCCATTACATGATAAAGATTACAAGTTTTGATTGCTTGAATAGGTTATGAGACTATTCTTTCAAAATAACAGATGGTACATATTAAATTTTAGTATTAGATAACTGTAAATTTTTTAGTTATTATATCTAAATAAATTTATTCAAAAGTCCTTCTAAAAAATATTCTTTGTATAACCTTTTTTTTTTTTTAAATAGTCCTTATAACTTTTTTTTCGGTTCTTATTATTTTGTTTCAGTTCTTATAAAATATTTATTTTTGTTTCAACTTTTATAATATTTAGTTTATTTTAAATTAGTTACCACCAATAAAAAAAATATGAATTAAGGTAAAATATTTATGTATTATTTGGATAAAAACAAAAAAAAAATAATACAAAAACTAAAATAAAATAATAAGAACTAAGAATAAAAGAACCATTTAAAAAATGTAGAAGAACAAAAGAAAAATGAAATAGATTTCCTACGTGAAATATAATTCAGCCTAAAAAAGTGATTGAGATGTATGTAATTTTTCATCACTATCAAAATGTTTTATATTGAAAATATCAAAGTGTAATTCATATATATTTTAAAATTTTATTTAAAATAAATTTACTCTAATAAAAAATCATCCTCTTATGAAAAAAAAATCTAAAAAAAAAAAAAAAAATGACGAGTACATAAGTATTTTTTTAACACAAACCATTGTTCATTTTGACTTTTTCATAATGTGACGGGTCGATGCGTGTTTTCGAATAGCATATGACACAATACTGAAAACATATAAACGCTTTTATAAAATAATGAAAAATAAAACTCACAGTATAATAATATAAGTGTTTTTTTAATTAGGTAATCACGTAAATTAATTGGCAAGATATTATTTTAACTTAACTAATAAATTTTTAAAATGTTATTTGTAAAGTAAAAAATATATATGTGACTTAAAAAAATAAAAAATAAAAAGTATTTTTTTTATATTATAATTGGAATTTTAATTTATAATGACTATAATAAATGATTTCATTAATTTATAGATTCTTATAAATGGAAATAGTGGTTCTGCTGAATGAGTAGAGAGATATGAGATCCACGTGGTGTGGTGTGATGGCCACCTACCATGAGTTGGTGGAAGTAGCTGTGCATGCCGTACACTTAGAAGAGTAGGCTCTCCTTTCAAACAAAGAATGATAAATTTGACGCAACATTTTTGGTGGGATAGCGATCCCTCTACTAAATTTAATTTCCACCATCTTATTTTTTAAACAAAAAGGTAACTAGTTTTTTAGTTTTCATGCAAATTAAGGGAAATTTAATTTTTTGTTTTTTCAACTCAAAATTCGGTTCCCGGGGAACCGAATTCTGAGTTACTTTAAATTTTTTTTCTTTTCGTGTTTCTGGTCCATTTTAGGCAAATTTTGGAAGTGGAACGGCCCGTTCCGAAAGTAGAACGAGCCGTTCTGCTTAAAGACACAGAAGCCTTTTTACGGCCATGCAACGGCCCGTTCCGGAGGACGTTTGTAATTGATACAATTAAATAAAAGAAATATAGAAAAAATTAAAGACAGTGTTGAGAGTGGGATTTGAACCCACGCCCTTTCGGACCAGAACCTTAATCTGGCGCCTTAGACCCACTCGGCCATCTCAACCTTAACGACAAGGGTGACAAAAAATACCATTGAAATATTAATGAGAGTTATTCAAATGTTACCCATACAAAGGTGTGAATTTCCAGAATTATATCAAATTTAAAATAAATTATTCTCTATATAATTGTGTATATATATATATATATTCACATCTTATTTTTTATATTTTTATTTTTATCTCTTTTTCCTTCAATAAGATAATTGTAATGTTATTGTATTTCAATTTTTATATTTATTTAACAATTTTGAAATAAAAGAAAAGGACTCTTCCTTGTGATTTAGACATAAAAAAATATATAATTTTTATATTAAGTTTATATGATTGTTTTATCTTTTAAAATGATAAAAAAAATATTAAATTTATTTTACTAAGTAAAATTTGAAAAAAAATAACTATATTTTAACACATATTGCACTACTAGTTAGTATGTGTTTGGAATCGTCAACTTGAATTTACGTTTGAGAATTTTTTTTTTAAAACTTTCGCATCTATTATCAATTCTAACACAATTTTCAAGTCTATCATAATTAAATAACGCCATTTCAAAAACGCACTTAATTTTACATCTTCCTTCTTTCCAATCGCACACCGTTGCAACATTCATCACATTAATTTTTACATTTTACATCTTTCCACTCATACACCTATAAAAAAAAAGGATATTCTTTTATAATAACTTTAAAACGTACCCAAATGACCCAAGTCAAACTACATAGCAGAGTCTGTTAAACCTTACGCTAGGTTCGGACTTGTAAAAAATAGGTAATTAATAAGCGTGTTTTATTAAAAACCCACAAAATCACGGTTCACTAAGAAAAATAAAAGTTATTCTTGATTTATTGTTTTAGAATATTTATTTTTTCCATTCAACAAAATTCAATGACAAAACAAGCATATAGAACATGAAAAAGACAGAATATAATATAGAATACAATATAGGTGTCACTTTTACAACATACCTCTTTAAAAGAAGCAATACATACATAAATTAATGACAACCGAACTAGGATTACAACGCACACCTCGTTTACCAGTATATATACACATCAACAATAAACAAAAATTAAAAATGGTTGCTATTGGCTTTCAGATTATGCTAAATTGCCAACACAAATTATGCATAAACAAGTGCCCATGTTGTATTACTTAACCTTTTCTTTTTTACCAGAGACACTGCACAACAGGTCAACAACATGACCTTAATTGCAATAGAAAAAGAAAATGAACAAACAAAACAAGCTTGTGACCAAAGTTTCTATTAGCACTCTGCATAAAAGCCACCTTCACCTTTCAAAAAGTAGTCAATTTGTTCTAACGCCTGCAAGATACAAAGGGACACCATTAGATAAGCATCACTGATACAAGAAAAAATTAAAGACAGTGTTGAGAGTGGGATTTGAACCCACGCCCTTTCGGACCAGAACCTTAATCTGGCGCCTTAGACCCACTCGGCCATCTCAACCTTAACGACAAGGGTGACAAAAAATACCATTAAAATAAGATTTTGAAGCTTAGAATTCGGTTCCCCGGGAACCGAATTCTGAGCATGAACAGTAAACAGTTTTACATTGGTAAACAAACCTGCACAGTTGATACTTTTGTAATTTTTTTTAAAAAAAATATTATTTAAGTAAAAATTTCAAATTAAGGTGCTTAACATTTTCCATATTTTTATATGCACTCGAGTCAGCATTTTAATTTGAAACTGCCACCATGAAAAGCTTTGTACTTCTCACACCATTAATGTATGACTTTTTTCCTCTGTATAGTAATGGAGTATAAACAGGATTCAGATTCTCTGAAGGTGGGGTTATAATAGAAAAGGGTAGAAACTGACATTTATTTTATATAATAAATTGTTTTTATTTTTTAATTTAAAAATATTTTATTATTAATTTTTTAATAACATTTTTAATGATGTGACAACATCTTATTTGATGTGTCTAACAACCTATATTTGTGATAATGTTTACCCCCAAGTCTTTCTCCAACTAATTTAGCTTATAAAGTTATAAAAATGTCATTTTTTATCTTTGAAAATATCAAATAATAATATTTTAGAGTTTCTCTAATGGTGGAATCCTTTTAGGTTTTTAATGAATTTTATGGACTTATCGATGTAATGTAAGACTTTAAATTTATTTTCTACTTTTTTTTTTAATGAAAGAACCTAACTTAGATTATTAATCAATTTTAGGGGGGTTTTCTTTCACTTTTTGCTACAAAAATATAATTATTCCAAGTTCTTATATAAAAGTTAGTTTTACACATGACAACCAAATTACTTTACACTAATAATGAAAAAAAAATAATCTATAAAAACCTCTCATTAATTTAAATTTATAAAATGACATCTATTTTAATTGTGGATGTTATAACCATAAAAACTAAAATCACTTGTGTTTAGTAATTTCAACAATCAAAATGATGTTTTCATATTTCAATGACTAAAATAACTAATGTCAGTAATTTCATTAACCAATTTAACGAATTACTTGTTAACCGTAATTGAAATGAGTATTAAAATTAATTTCAACCACAAACTTCTATATTAAAACGTGTGTCAACGAAAGAAAATAGTTCTCCTACTATATGTTATCCAAAAGATAAATTTCACTGGCACACGTGGATTAAAATGCATTTTGTATCTAAAAAAGTGTTATATCAGTGGTAGTGAGTCATAATTTTAGAATGAAAAAGGTTTGCTGAATGGAAAGGTAGGTTTAGGTCATAATTTTGATGAAGACTAGGCTTAGACTTTGGAATGAGTCATCTCTTTTTCTTGGTGTGGCTTATGAATCAGATTGGAGATATTCCTTTGGGACTAATAATTTAATTATATAATGAAATATTTTATTAGAAGAAAGCTCTTACCTACCATTTGTGATCCAAACCTAACTACCCACTTATGACTTTTTTTTTTCTTTTTTTTTTTTTTCGGGTTGCTCTATGATTTTATTAGTCTTGTCTCTTTTAACAACGATATAATATAAATAAGCTAATTAGCGAGAAAAAAAAAAAAACTCTTCATAGACAAAACCATCAGGTTCAAAATTCAATTTAAGGAGGGGATAGGAAATATTTGGATATGGTAAATGGAACAAATCGCAGGTGAACCAATTTATATATCACGTTTTTTTTTTAATTTGATTTCTTTAAAGTAAAGAAGTGCACTTACCTTAAAAAACAGAAGGTAAAACATTTTTTTTTCTTTTATATCTTTTAAAGTTTCAAATAGTCCTTTGAATATTTCCCCCCCTATTTTTGTCCATTTAATTTAAAAATACATATTTTTTCTCAAAAATTCTTTTATAATTATTTCTAAACATTATCTAAATCACTTCGATGATACAAAAATTTATATATTTTTAAATTAAAGTAATCAGAATTGTAAAAAAAAAAATTAGAGATCAAAATCAAATATGAAAAATATTAGAGAGACAAAAAATAAATCATTATCTCAACTATTAATAAAAACAACATTATTTTTATAACAATCTTTCATGTTCACTTTTAGACAGACATATTTGTTCTTGTAACTTTCTATTTTATTTTTAATCTATTTACAAATATTTGTTTTGTCTCCTTAAAAAAAACAGTATTGCTACATCTAGTATTAATTATTATAAGTAATATAAGATAAATTATCAATGTGATTATTTTTAATTAATTGTACCATAAATTTAAATTTTATTCTAAAATATAACCTTTTATTTTAAGTGATTGTTATATTTAATGTCAATTATAATTGAACACAGAAAAATAAAGCTAATAATACAAGAACGACATAAAAGGACTTTAAATCTAAGTAAATTTTAAAATAATGATTATTGTTTATAATTATAAGAAAACAAATTTAATTTGTTGCTTACAATTAGGACTACATGTAGTATTTCATTAAAAACAAGGTATTCAATACAAGTAGGACTAGAATCAAAAATTTATTGTTAAGTAAAATTAGAGGTGACAAAATGAACCAGTTTGGTCCATTTAATCTTGAACTACTAAAAATGGGTCAGATCGGGCTAATTCATTAGAAAATAATGAATCACAAACCTTGCATGTCCCACCTAAGGGGAGAAAATTGCATATTCAGTTTGAGTTACTCTTTTAACATATATTTTTTTCTTGATATCTAAAAGGCCTACATAAATTAATGTATCTAAATAATAATAAAATCTTAAATTTCATATAATAAAATTAATCAAATACATAATATATTTGTTGTATAATAAATCATAAAGTATACACTAAATAAACCTGAAGTGCCTTAATTAAACTTATATTAAAATAATAAATTAAAAAACACATTTTAAAAATTAGTTGATGAGTTAGGAGGGATGAACTAGGCAGGTTGGCAAGCTAGGACACCTGGCCTGGTCCACCAATTTTTGATGAACTAGCAAGTTGTGACCCATTTTATCACTCCTTGAGCAAAATATCTATATGCCCTAGCCAAGGAGTGAACAACTTGATTGACTTACCTAGTAACAAACTATATACAAATTTTTAAAGAGAATAAAAATTATATTTTGCAGGATATGTTGAAACTCATTAGTATGAAACCTCTTTTAATTGATAATGTCAACAATTAACTTGTAATCTACTTCAATGATATTGGAAAACTACAATTCATGGACCCAACAAATGGCATAGTAAAGTGACAATGCTTTAGCCTCTTATGGTGTGTTGAGAGTTCATGAAATCAAACTATTTTAGCCAAACCAAAGTAACCTATAAATAACACAATAATCAACTTCATACATGAAAGTTTCATGAAAAAAGACAACATCAATGTTACATTCAATGTGAATCTGTTGGAGGTTTTGATCATGTAAGCTTATTATGTACACTTTGAATCGTGATATTAACCTTTGAACTATGGTATCTTTATAATTGTTCAAATTTTTTTTTACACCCTCAATTTTTAACCAATCACTCTTATTAAATTTTAGTTTATTTTATCTTTTATTTTGCTTTTATGTAAAATACACGAAGATACATAGTGTATGTTTTAGTAATATATATGTAGGAGCGTTTCAAATGAACAAATATTAGAATGAGAAAGTGTAATCTTTTAATGATAGTCCTTAAATTACAACTAAATAAAATTTTTAGTTACGAGATTGTTATTTTCATTGCCTCCACCATTATTACTATAATTGTTGTTACGACATCATTCTTACCATTGTCATCGCTATTCATTATTATCATCATCATTGTTATTAATATTATTATCATTATCATTATAACTATCATTATTGTAATTGTCTTTAATATCATCGTCATTATTTCCTCTATGATGGTGGTAACAATGTTATTGATGTTAATAATAATAATAATATGTAAATATCATATATGTGCCACATTCATGAAAACGCGTATATATGTTTGATCATTATATCAATATTCTAGTATGATAACATTCGGCACATTGACATGTTTTATCAACATTTTGTGATAAAAATTTTGAGAATAAATTATTGATGGTAAAAGTTTGCTAAAAAAATATGAGACTTGGACAAATTGTATTTTGAGTTTTAAATTATTTGAGTAAAAGTTTTGTGTAAAAAAAATTGTGTATTTGAAACAAAGCTAAAATTTGTATAAAGAAAACCTAAAAATATTTTGTTTTCTATATTTAAATATTTGATCATTATAATTATTTTTAGTCTAATTATAATCGATTATATAAATATATCAAATTAATTTAATTTTCACGGGTGTTCATACACATTCTAAATGTGAAATAATTCTTTTAGGGAAACAAAATTACACAAAACTAGGCGGATAAAAAGTGGATATAAGCATAATCAGGATTTAAGGCTGAACTAAAACTAGAGCATGCACCCACCTCGTATCTATGATGCGTAACCCGCATCGACTACTACTAGGATCCCACTTAAAATTCCTTAACAAAATCAATGTGTGCCAAAATTTTCATTTGTCTAGTGTGTCACCTCATTTTTTTCAACACGATTCTGCGATTCTCAAACAACGAAAAATTGGGCGTGAATTGGCCAACTTATTGCAATTGCCATGCCCAAATATTCCCACTTCTCATTACTACAAAAAAATCCATGCCCACATTGTGGTGTTGGGTTTTCACCAACACGATACCTTCCTCGTTAACACTCTCTTGCATAGATACTCAAAACTTAACTTAATCGATGCACAGAAGCTGTTCGATATTATGCCTCATAGGAACCTAGTTACTTGGTCCTCCATGGTTTCTATGTACACTCAACATGGTTACAATGCAGAAGCATTGACAATGTTCTGCCGGTTCTGGAGAATTTGCAGTGAGGGGCCAAATGAATACATTTTGGCCAGTGTCATTAGAGCTTGTACTCAATTGAGTAGTTTCAGTCAAGCTCTCCAGGTGCATGGTTTTGTTGTCAAGGGTGGGTTTGTTCTGGATGTTTATGTGGGTACATCTTTGATTGATTTTTACACCAAGCACGGTTGTGTTGATGAAGCAAGGTTAATTTTTGATGGCCTGGAAGTTAAAACCACTGTCACATGGACTGCAATTATAACAGGGTATTCGAAACACGAAAGAAGTGAAGTAGCCTTAAAGTTATTCAACCGAATGAAAGAGGATGATGTATGTCCAGACAGATATGTGATTTCTAGTGTTTTGAGTGCTTGTTCGATGCTTGAGTTTCTCGAAGGGGGGAGGCAAATTCATGGCTATGTGTTAAGGAGGGGCTTTGACATGGATGTTTCAGTGGTCAATGGAATTATAGATTTTTATTTGAAATGTCACAAGGTGAAGACAGGTCGGAAGTTATTTGATCAGCTGGTGGCTAAAGATGTTGTTTCGTGGACTACAATGATTGCTGGTTGCATGCAAAATTCATTCCACGTGGATGCCATGGATCTGTTTGATGAAATGGTTAGAATGGGTTGGAAGCCTGATGCATTTGGTTGCACTAGTGTTCTCAATTCATGTGGTGCACTCCAGGCCCTAGAAAAGGGAAGACAAGTGCATGCTTATGCTATCAAGGTCAATATTGATAATGATGATTTTGTGAAAAATGGTTTGATTGACATGTATGCCAAATGTGATTCCTTGATTAATGCAAGAAAAGTCTTCGACCTAGTGGCTGCTACAAATGTAGTATCCTACAATGCAATGATAGAAGGATACTCGAGACAAGACAAGCTGTTTGAAGCATTGGATCTTTTTCACGAAATGAGGCTAAGTTCATCGCCGCCAACTCTATTAACATTTGTAAGCCTTCTAGGGCTATCTTCATCATTATTTCTCCGGAAACTAGGCAACCAAATCCATGGCCTCATTATAAAATATGGGGTTTCTTTAGACAATTTTGCTGGAAGTGCTCTAATAGATGTTTATTCAAAATGCTCATGTGCTGGGGATGCAAAACTAGTTTTTGAGGAGATATATGACAAAGACATTGTAGTATGGAATGCAATGTTTTCTGGGTACAGCCAACAATTGGAAAATGAGGAGTCACTCAAGCTTTACAAAGATCTTCAGATCTCAAAGCTAAAACCCAATGAATTCACTTTTGCCGCTGTAATCTCAGCAGCAAGTAACATAGCTAGTTTGCGACATGGTCAGCAGTTTCACAACCAGGTGATAAAGATGGGTCTTGATGATGACCCCTTTGTCATAAATGCCCTAGTGGATATGTATGCCAAATGTGGAAGCATTGAAGAGGCTCTCAAGGCATTTAGTTCCACAGACCAGAGAGACATTGCCTGTTGGAATTCCATGATTTCAACATATGCCCAGCATGGAGAGGCAGCAAAAGCTCTGGAGGTGTTCAAACACATGATTATGGAGGGAGTGAAGCCAAATTATGTCACCTTTGTAGGGGTACTATCAGCATGTAGCCATGCTGGACTTCTAGACCTTGGATTTAATCATTTTGAATCAATGTCCCGGTTTGGAATTGAACCAGGGATTGATCATTATGCTTGCATGGTTTCCCTCTTGGGCCGGGCTGGTAAAATATATGAAGCTAAGGAATTTATCGAGAAGATGCCAATAAAACCAGCAGCAGTAGTGTGGAGGAGCCTGCTCAGTGCTTGTAGAGCTTCAGGTCATGTGGAACTAGGGACATATGCTGCTGAGATGGCAATTTCGTGTGATCCAGCTGATAGTGGGTCATATATATTACTTTCAAATATTTTTGCATCAAAGGGTATGTGGGAAAATGTCAGAAAGTTGCGGAAGAAAATGGAGACGAGTAGGGTAGTGAAAGAACCAGGTTGGAGTTGGATTGAAGTGAATAGAGAAGTTCACAGATTTATTGCCAGAGACACAACCCATCGTGACTCTTCACTTATATCTTTAGTTCTAGACAATTTGATTCTACAGATCAAAGGGTTTGGTTATGTGCCTGAAGTTGCTGCATTTTTACTTGATGATTGAGAAGAATCAAGATGTGATAAAATTACAATTAGCCGAGCCTTTAAGTTTCTCATCAACTATTAAGTAAAATATTTCTCATCAAGATGTACATTGATTGCTACTTCGTTAGGCAACATTGGTCTTCTAGCCGTTTTCATCCTGAAGACATTTTCTTAACAATGTTAATTTCGTGATCCATGTAATTTTGAGGTCATCTGTTTGTCAATAAAAGACGAGACTGTACAGAGGCTTTTCCTAGGGATTGAACCATGACAACAAATTTCTTCAGCAAATACCAAAGAGATGGAGATATTCTCTTGCAGGTGACAAGTCAAGGGAAGGTGACGCCAAACGAATAACTGTTTAGGTGGAAAAAGGACAAGTCACAACTAATAGGCAGAATTGTTGTGTTAATTGGTACATAAACGTTAATGTGACCTTGCAAATATAGATAGATCTGTTAGTACCAGTGATTTTGTGCATGTAAAATTTTGTATTTCTGGTATTACTCCCATGTCCCAAGGATACGAAATTTTTTGTTGAAGAAAGCAAGATAACACTATCCCTTTGACACTATTTGTTTAGTACTGTCTCAACTCAAAGCAGTTAGTTTTGCTTTCTTGGCATGCTTGGATTTATTTATATTGGGAGTTTTTGGTCGAGCTCTCAGTTCAAAGGGATAGGATTCATTCCTTGAAAATGGAATTACCCTGTGTTTGCTGGTGCATTGTTTTGAGAGGTTCCAAATAATAGATTTAAGTTTTGCTTAACAATTCTATTTGTGGAAGTGTTGAACAGAAGCGATTCCCAAATGCTGATGCATTTTTAGTGCATTCGGGGTGCTCTGGTATTACTAACATAAAAATGTTGCATTACAAGAGAGAAAAACATGAAACTAATTATAGTGTTTTTAGTGTATAGGTTTTTTTTGTTTGTTTGTTTGTTTGTTTTTTTTTTTTTAATTTAACTTTTTTTCATAATATAATCACGTTAATGTTAGTAAGTAGTGAGTAATATTAGAAAGAAAAAAAAAACTAATAATTATTGATCTCTCTTTCATATTAATATTTTGAGTTACACCGAAAAAAATTATACCAAAATATTATTAATTTGGATACTCTTCTGTTCTGGTGCCTCAAAATAAAAAAAGAAGACGACAAAAGTTATGAAGCAAAGAGAATGGAGAGAGGATAGACAAATGATGAGGAAACAGAGAAATAGAGACGAAGATGATGGAAATGACTCGAGAGGATCTGACTTAAAAAAAAAATAGTTAATACCTATACATTGTCAGTGTAAATTTTTTTTACATTGATATCTAATTATATCTTTTAATTGTGTCATGTCACTATAAACATTTATTTTTAACAGTGACATGACACAATTAAAAGATATAATTGGTTGCTGATATAAAAAAACTTTACACTGCAGTATATAAGTGATTAACTCTAAAAAAAAAAAAATTATCAAATATAAAATGTCCATAGTTAAAATTAGTGTGAATTTCATAATCAATTTATGATTTGGATAAATCTAGTGCTTAGAAATTAGAATTCAGGGATACTTTCTTAGAAGGAAGAAACGGATTCTAAAAAAATGAAAAATTGTATTTAAACTATTTAATCCGTGTCTTTTTTCGGAAGTTAAAATTAATTTATTATATGTTAAAATTAATTTTTGGAGAAGTTAAATTAGAAATCTTCTCTAAATTTACATAAGAGACAATTCAGAGCATCATTTAAAAACCTTCAAATTACCCTCTTAATAATGGCAGTACAAGGGTACAATTAATCAATCGGATTATTACCTATCTAGTCGAGTATAAAGGGAATAATTTCTGCGGCAAGTATTTCTCTTCAAAATTTTCCTTTTAACATATTTTTATAGATAAGTCTCATAAAATAAAATTAAAATTTTATTATTTATGTAATTATATAATATAATAATAAATTAATATAAAAACTGCAACAGTATCATAAAATATTAATTACATTAATATTAAATTATTATACATTTTAAAGTAAAAATAATTATAAAATTCACATAAAAATAATTATTAAAAATATTTATTATTATATGCTAAAAAAAATAACGTATATTAGCACAAAAAAATAACACATTAATTAGCAAAGTAAACAATTTCTGCAATAATTCTTTTTTCTAAAATATAAAATTATTATTTATTACATTAATATAGAAAATGTAATTAAACATAATTTCATATAAAAATTATTAATATTTTTATGTAAATATTTTTAAAGTAAAATATTCAAAATAAGATTTCCATCCAAAATAATACCTATAAAATAAAAAATAACACATTAATATATAAGTTGTAACAACATCTTAAATTATTATTTATTAATTATTTCAATTTAAAAAAATGTTAATAAAAAAATTTACACATAAAATATAGACTATTAATTAGAAAATTTATTACCTTTTACATTTGACGATAAAAATTCTAGAAATATCAAATATAAACAATAAAATATTTAAAAAAATTTACTAAAAACTTTTCATCCAAAATTGAAAACTTTTCAATTGTCTCATCAGCATTCATATTTATTAATTGCATGGTGCTGTTACAAACGAATCACCATTTATATACCAGAAAGTACTTATTTATTTATTTATTTTCATCTAAAACTCATAATATACTCCCCTTCAATAAGATAATTATGATGTTATTATATTTTAATTTTCATACTTATTTGGCAATTTCAAAACAAAGGAGGATTCTTGCATGTGATTTAGACAATAAAAATTATAATTGTATTAAATTTATATGATTATATCATTTTTTAAAATGATATTAAATATTAAAAATAAATTTTTTTGTTAAATAAAATTAATTTATTGTTAATAAAAAAAATTAACTAAATCTCCACACATCGTACGAATAAACCGACTAGTTTTACAATATTAGTAACAGTAGACAATTACACAATTGAGAACAAGATATAAAAGTAATTACAATAGAATTTATTTTTATACTCAATTATAAGTTTATGCATACTATTCATGCTGTCACACTAATTACAAAAGTCAAATTTTAATATAGAATGTAAAAAGAAAATATTAATGTGTTATTTTTTTCTTATTGGACTAGGCCTAGACCTGCAAAAAGTTAATGGGCCTGAGGCATGGGGAGACAGGGTTTATACAAACAAGGTACGTCTCTTATGTCATTTGCGCGCTGAACCAAAATTAGGGTTTGTAGGAGGAAGCATCAATGGCGCCGAAGCAGATAACTCATAAGGTTAGCAGAAACCCTGAATTGATAAGGGGAATCGGAAAGTACTCGAGGTCGCAGATGTACCACAAGAGAGGCATCTGGGCTATCAAAGCTAAAAACGGCGGCGTTTTCCCTCGCCACGATCCTAAACCTAAACCCGAAGCTCCCGCTGAAAAACCACCCAAATTTTACCCTGCCGATGATGTCAAGAAGCCACTTGTCAACAAGCACAAACCCAAACCCACTAAGCTCAGGTGCATTTTCACTTCAATCCAATCTCACATGTTTGTTCAGTGGATATTTATGTATTTTTGCGTTTTTAGTTTAGTTTGTGTAATTGATTTGATTAGGAATATGAGATGTTAGGGGGAGGCTCCAAAGGAAACTCTGGAATTGAATGATTGAATAGTATGCTAATAGAAAGTTCATGGTATTTCTAGCTAACTAAGTGTTTAGAAACCTAACCAACTGACTAACTAATCAGTGAAAACAAGTAGAATCAGAATTTCTAATTCTAACGTCTAGCTTTTATTTTTGTCCATTTATCTTACGGTGGTGTTTTTAAATTAATTTGGGATCTGGTGTATAAAGCGTAGGTTATTGGTGAATGGGGAAATTGATTTGAGTCATTTTTAATAGAATTTCTAAGGTTTACTGATTTTTTTATCTTTATTTGGTGCTTATGGCATGTGATTTTGTGTTGGCTGTGTTTCAGGGCTAGCATTACACCAGGGACAGTGTTGATTCTTCTTGCTGGTAGATTTAAAGGAAAGAGGGTAGTGTTTTTGAAGCAGCTTCCTTCTGGCTTGCTTCTTGTGACTGGTGAGTTTTGCTATTTAACACGTTACTTCTATTGCTAAGATTTAGTATGCTAAGCAGTTTGTTCGTGTGCTATTAGATTCATCAATTCAGTGTTTTAACCTTGACACGAGTAATTGGTTTGTAAAGGTTACCTCTTCCTTATTGCTCGAGGTGTTTACTTCTGTTACTACTCGCATTGTTGTCTCTTATTATTAGGGGATTCATTTTTTCTGAATTAAGCTTTGTACATGTAGCGTTGAAAGTATAAAACAATACAAAAGTTGTTTTAATCTTTTGAAAATCGGAGATAAAATAAGATTATGATGTCATTTTTGTAATTAAAAGAGGAAATATGACACATTTTCTCAAACCAAATGATCCCAAATTTTCCCATGTTGTATGGTTTTGTTTGTGCGGTGCGAATGATATTTTTGATTATGTTGATGAGTGTGCTCTGGAGTGTACTTTGACTTTGTTTTTTCAGTACCTATTTGATCACAAATTTGAATATCACTACTCTTTTCTCCACCCATATCCAGTCTTGCTTATGTTCTCACTTGCCATTTTAGGTCCTTTTAAGATTAATGGAGTTCCCTTGAGACGTGTGAATCAATCCTATGTTATTGCCACATCAACTAAAGTAGATGTTTCTGCTGTTAATGTCGACAACTTTGATGACAAATACTTTACAAAGGAAGTCCAAAAGAAGAAAAAGAAGGGAGAAGGCGAGTTCTTTGAGGCAGATAAGGAGGTACGATTGTCAATTTTAGTATTTTGTTGGTGTTCTTGTAATTTTCACTTGCTTCTGCGTGTTGATCTCTGCCTTTTTTTTTCCTAATGCAGGAAAAGAGTGTATTGCCCCAGCAGAAGAAAGATGATCAGAAAACTGTGGACTCTACATTAATTAAAGCCATTGAGAGTGTTCCAGACTTGAAGGCTTATCTCGGTGCTAGGTTTTCCCTAAAGGATGGTGTTAAACCTCATGAACTAGTCTTCTAGAGGAAAGAAGGATATTACTTTTGTTTTTCATATCCTGATTTTTCTTTTGATATTGGTCCTAGTAGCTGCACTCTTATAAATTTATTTTTAACAGACCAAGGAAAAACCTAAAATTTTGTTAGGCAACGGATTGTGATGATGATATTTCTTCCTGCAATTTTGCTCTTTTTAACGATTTGTTGATCGTATGTATTTTAGAAATTGTGTGAGTGGCCTTTCATATTAGCATGTCAAATGAAGTACACTGGAAACATATATACATGTGGCAAGGTTGGTGTAACAAAGAACCATGTTAATATACCTTGGTACATACTCGTCCACGTTAATTGGTGGTGTGAATTACACCAAGTACATATTAAGTAAGTCATAATTGTTTATATGATAAATTTATAGGAATAACTTAATTTTATTCCTGAAATTACATGGGTTAATTCTCTAGTCTTCTGAAGACTACAATCATCATCATATTCATTTTTAAAAAATCATTATCAAATTATTCTAAATGATCTTATTTTTATTCTTTATCTCTGTCATTGTAGCAAAATTTATGGTTCGATTGGCAGGGATGGATGAAATAAGTGAGAAATAGAGAGAAATAAAGGGTAGTAGGGGGGAAATAGAGTAAGATTATAACTGTTGGTGTAAGAAAAATAGAAAATATATTGTTAATATAAATTTTGAAATAAATCAACCCCCTCCGTCCATGCTTACGTTCTCGCCTTGCTTAGGAGAATCCTACATGTTGGTCAATATCTGGCCTGTCAAAATTCGTGGATAACGGACCGGCTTGCGGGTTAAATTAATAGTTCAAAAAATAAATTTTTAAAAATAAAAATACATAAAATTAGAAAAAAAATTATATTTTTTTATTTATAAGTTAAATTTTATCATACTAAAATTTATCAATAGTTAAAATAGATTAAAATACTAAATATTAAAATATTAAAATAAAAATAATGACAAATACTTAAATAATAGTAATAAACTTTTAATAATAAAAACATCAAAATGTATTAAAAAATAATTCAAATGACAAACACATACCAACTAAACATAATTTTAATGTCATAATAATTTAAAAATTAAATACACAACTTAATATTAAAATCATAATATTTAAAAATATTAATTAGTGAAGTCCGCGGACTAGCCCGCGAGCCCGCGGATTAAATCCGCCAAGTTTGCGGACTTCACGGACCGGGCTCAAAAATTAGACATAATCATACGGATTTAAAAAAATGGGTCTATTATCCGCGAAATCCGCGGGCTTACAGACTGGTCCGCGGACCCGGATCCATCTACCCAACCCTAATAATCACATGTGTAAGGTCTCTCTCTTGGGTCAATTATTATATTCGTTTGACGTATTTGGAATCATTTTCCTCCTAAATTGACATAAAAAGAGATGTATTCTTTCCTTTTTTGTTTTAATTATCATAATTTTTAAAAATAATTTTGTATCCATTTAAACAACACACACATATATATTTTATATATTTCTCTTATATTTTATGCTTCCTATTTCTTTTCTTTCCATTTCACTTGATAAAAAAATGTTTTAAAGTTTCACATAATTCAACACATCCTCCTTAAACATGAATAGTGCCTTTGCGATATCTATAATCAACTATAATCTATGAAGGGGACTTGTAAGGCTCTAACAAAGCAATTTAACTAAATACAAATGTATATCACTACAACTTGGAGTATTTTTGTTAAATGTTTCAAGAAGAGATAGTTGGTTAGAGGTCTCGTTGAATCTCAATCCATAAGAAGAAGCAATAATGCTTGAAAATTGACAATCTCAACAATTTCATTTAACTAGGTTGGGCGAAGACTTTGGTCCTCATCTCCACAATTTGTAGTCTGATCATTCCAACATTTTTCATTTGACTACATTGGATGAAGACTTTGGTCTTCATTTGCACAATCACCATCTAATGGAGACGAAGGTAATTGATCAACTCAAACTGATGGGTTGTTTTTAAAACAAAAATTGCATATACTATATTCCTTGTCTAAATCCTTTATATATGTTTCCATGGGATATATCTCTAAGTTGCTTTATAGGCTAACATGCTTTAAGCATTAAAATGAAATACATCTCTAAGTTGTTTTATTATGATTACTTAGTTTATCTCATATGCTATTTCGAATGATGATAGAACAAATATATATGAGAAAATACTACTCTTAAAGAGCATACTCATGAAAATCAACTAGTTTGAATGATTCTACAATGTCTTAGATGTGTGTCTTATGTCATTTTTATAAAAATCTCATTCAAATTGCTTATACGTTTTTAAGAAAAAAAAATTAGGCAAAATTGAAAAGTTGTTTCAAGGTTAAATGGTTAGAACTCCTTTCGATAAAAATACCTTTTGGAAGATGAAAACATTTCAAAAAGATAAAAATCTCTTTGTCTTATCAAAACAAAAATATTTTCTAAAATAAAGTACAATGGATATTTCAAAAATATAAAAATGTGTTTATCACCATAAAAAAAAATTGTTAAGTGAAAAAACGATCTTAGATATCTCAAGCTTCAAAGTTTTAATGCTAACAAATAAAAATATTTTTACAAGAGAAAATTTTATCAAAAACATTTTCAAAAATATCTTTGAAAAACGTTTTTCAAATGAAGTGTAAGATGCAAATCATCCATAAGACGATGTAAATCACACGAAACATATAGTTTATCTCATATATATTAAATTTTTATTATTTATTGAGACTAACTACAAAATTTGTATTGAATGTCTTATTCCTTATTAGATTAAACCAAAAAGTCACCTTAGAACTCACAAATATATTGAAGAGAAGAATCGTGTTTTTCGTTAAAACTAAGATCCTTGAAAGAGAAAAGCAGATAAAATAATTGTTATAACTATTATACGTTGACATTGTTTCTACAAGCTCCGTTTGGTATCAAATTTTGATAAGTAACCTCTCTTATCAGATAAGAGGTACCATTTGGTGAAATGCATTTAATGCTTGGATTAAATGAGTCAAATGATTATATGTCATCATAAAGAAAGATGATAAAGACATATGAAACAAATTTGTGAGTTGAACTTAAAGTGTTGCGATGATCATCTTCTCTAAGCTACTATATTATTAAGAAGATTAAAAGTTAAAGAAAGAAGATAACACACACACACATATATATATACACACACACACTTGTACAAAAACATATACATGTGTATAAACTTCATTCTTTCTTATAAAAGTTCATTGCTCTATATTGGCTGTATAATGTCTAAGTGAGACGAACTTAACATTTGTATAACTTTCATAACTATTGTTATAAGATTGAACTTGGAGAAACTTGTTTATAAAAGAATTTTTGTTTTATTATTTTGAGCTTGGAGATATTTGTTTGTAAAAGAATATTCGTGTTTGACCTTAGAAAGGCCTAATTGTTACAAAATATTTGGTTGTTAAGCTTGGAGATGCTTATTGTTAAAAAAAATACTTGAGTAGTTACTTAAAGAGACAAGTCAAAAAATACTTAGGACTGAATCATAAATGACTTGTTGAAATAATACTTGTATCTCAGTTTAAAGATAGTGAAACTTGATCTAATTGAATTGAAAATTAGACGTGATCTCAGTGGTTGAGACTAACTAGTATAAAATACCAAGTACTCCATCTGACTGCTCTTCACACTTCATCTAACTAATGTTACTACTTCACTACCAAAAACGTGCGAGTTTTTATACACATTATTTAACTCCCTTCCAGTGATTATCTTTCTCACACTTACTCTTGCATGTTTCCATATGACTTGAATTGTGATGATCATACGTGGTATTGAAGTATGGTAAAAATATGTGTGGAGTGGTGCAATGGAGGTTGCTCTGTGGTGCAAGAGTTAGATGTCTCTTTTGATAACTACCTTTGAGTGGTTATTGTATAAATAATACCAGTTATTTGACTGATCACTTATGTTGTATAGTTTGCATTTACAAGATTAATGTATCTATATTATATATATTTGAATAATTATTTTTATCTCTACATATACATGCTTCACAAAACATATTCTTGTATATATAGATATATAATTATAAGTTAATAATTTTTTGCTGTTAATTATTTATCATTAAGTATAGAGATTATGACGGGTTGTTATAAAAATATTCAAAATTTCTTATTCAAAAATTCCATCCAAAATTCATAACTTTTCAATTGTCTCATGGCCTTTCATATTTATGAGTTAAAGGGGGTGTTACAAACTAATCACCATTTATATACCAAAACATATTTTATTTATTTATTTTCATCTAAAATTCATAATATACTTCCCTTCAATAAGATAATTATGTTGTTATTACCTTACAATTTTCATGTTTATTTCACAATTTCAAAACAAAGGAGGTGTTATAAAAGGAAGAAAAAGTAGAGAGAAGAAATAAGACAATATGAGATGGAGAATAAAATCTGACTTATATATTATCTTTGGGGAAGACTAACCTATTTATAAGTACATGTAGTAACTAAATAATTACACAATAAAGGGAATAATACATAACGAAAATATAAATGGTAATGATTGATAACGAATATTGACATCCACTAATTAAGCCACTAATTATTATTCATAACAGGAGGAGGATTTTTGTGTGTGATTTAAATATTAAAAATTATAATTTTATTAAACATATATAATTATATCATTTTTTAAAATGATATAAGATATAAAAAATAAATTTATTTTGCTAAATAAAATTAATTTATTTTTAATAAATAAATTAACTGAATCTCCGCATGAATAAATCGACTAATTTTACAATAAAATAACTTATTAAAAAAAATTGCTTATTAGTGGTAGACAATTACAAAATTGAGTAAAAGATATAAAAGTAATTACATTAGAATTTATTTTTATCGCCAATTATAAGTTTAATGTAGAATGTAAAAAGAATAATATTAATGTGTTATTTTTTTCTTATTGGACTAGGCCTAGACCTGAAAAAAAGTTAATGGGCCTGAGGCATGGGGAGATAGGGTTTATACAAACAAGGTACATCTCTTATGTCATTTGCGCGTTGAACCAAAATTAGGGTTTGTAGAAGGAAGCATCAATGGCGCCGAAGCAGAGAACTCGTAAGGTTAGCAGAAACCCTGAATTGATAAGGGGAATCGGAAAGTACTCGAGGTCGCAGATGTACCACAAGAGGGGCATCTGGGCTATCAAAGCTAAAAACGGCGGCGTTTTC